CGGGGATGGAGAGGTGTACAGCAACGTGGTGACCGCGGCAGCCGAGGATGGAGCTCGCGGCTAGTGCTGCGACGGTGGGGCTCCGGCCTTGCTGGTAGTTGCCGAAGGGTGGAAGGTGCTCACGGTGGTGGCGTGCTCGACGACGTCCGTGCGACTCCGGTGTGGTGTGATTCGGAGCAGCATGGCGAAGATGGCTCCGGGCGGTCACTCCAGCAGCGCGGTGGGCGACGTCATGGCGAGGTCGGCGTGGTGAGGCGCTGTGGACTCCAGCTCGACGTTGGGCGTGGACGCGGTGAGTAGGCTCGGCGTGGGCGACACCGCTCCTCGGTGCTGGCTCGGGCGGCGCGCTGGTGGTGAGGCTCGGAGCAGGTCGCCGTGCACGTCGGGGTGGTCTCGCGGTTGAGGCGCGGCTCGAGGAAGACGGACGCCGTGGGGATGCCGGCAGCGCGGTCACGGAGGCGGTGCTGCAGGGGCATCGCGGAGGTGGCTGGAGGCAGAGCGCTGTCGGCGTCGCCATGGCCAGGGGCTCCGGCGAGGCAGGGACGGGCTCCCGCCGGTGGCTTGGTCGCGACGCGGAGCAGGGAGGCGGCGCTGCGTGGTGCGCCTCCCATGTGGTGAGGCCGTGGTGAAGGCGGCGGCGGCGGCTTGGAGGAGGAAAAAGAAGGGTGGCACTATTTATGCAGGCAGGCTAGGGCAGCCAGGGGTCACGAACGGCGGCGATTCTCAGGGTCCGCGCCCCCGCCACGCTGGGCCAGACGAGCGAGGGGGCGGGCTGGTCTGGCGTTATGCTGCGACGCAAACTCGCAGCGGCCGAGCGGCGGCGGCGGGGTCTGGGAGCGGGGTCGCGGTGCGCCTAGGGTTGGAGGGCGTCTGGTCACTGGCGGCCGGCAGCTTGCTTTGTCGGGCCGGGCCATGTGGGCTGCACTGTTTGGACCAAGCAGGCACTGCACGTAGCGCGAGTGGCCCGTAGAAGGAGCGGCGAGCGGGCTAAGCGAAGGGCGGAGCCAGCCACGGCTTGGCAAGGAGAGAGGTGAGAAGGGCGGCCGCAAGGGGTGGAGCAACTGGGCCGATCTTGCTAGGGCCAGCTTAACGTCTTGTGTGAAAGGGCCAAGGGAGGAGTGGCGAGTGGAGCTGTTGGCGCCAAGTTGGGCTAAGGGAGGGTGCTTTCGGTTGGCTCCTGCACTACTTTGGGCAGTCTTGAGAAAAGAGAAAGAAGGGGAGGAGAGGAGTCTTTGGCCGGGCCAAGGCGTGAGGGGAGAGAAGAGAGAAGGGAATAGATTTTCCAATTTATGTTTAAATGGTTTTGAATTTGGATTTGAGAAGAATTCACCACATCTTGAGAAGGATTTCCCAGGTGAAATATAAAGCGGTGTTCGAGAAATCATTCGGAGGGATTCATATAAGGGAACATATCTAGTGCAAACCAACCTCTCCGTGCAAACCAACTACGGGGGAGAGGTGGGAGGGGGGATTTGCAAAAGTGTAATTACGCCCGCTCCTAATTACACTTTTGCAAATCCCCCCTCCCACCTCTCCCCCGCAGTTGGTTTGCACGGTTTGCACGGAGAGGTTGGTTTGCACTTGATATATTGCCTTCATATAAACTTAAGACGAAATTTCCACGAGTGTTCGGATGGGAATTTTCCAGGGGATATTCAGAAAGACTCGAAGGGAGAATTTGAGGGGAATTCGAGGGAATCTGCATGGAGTTTGAATAGGAATTTCAAGAGGGGTATTGATGGTACTCGAGATGTGAGCTCCAAGAGGGGCTCGAGATGATTTCCACTGGTGACTAGAGGAGAGTGTCTTTTCCTTTGTTCTCCTACTCATAGGTCTTATATGTGCGTACCCGCATGTATTAACAACATGCTTACTCATCGTGGTGGTCTTCTAGGGGTCTTAGGGTTTAGGGATTCCGGTCCAATGGTCGGCACAAATATAAATGGCAAGTCCGGGTTCTAGTGGGGTTCGGGATTATAGAGAGAGATTCACGGAAGACTCAAAATAATCCCGCGAGGATCACAAGGAGGTTGCTATGGGTTGTGCTCTCCAACCATAATCAAGACTCAAACACAGGACAACTCGAAAACTCTGGCAATCACCTACAAACCACCTACATGTATGCAACGTCTTGTTAGCGAGTTGGACTCGTGTTTGACCTAGCAATTACATGTTTCACACATTGCAGGAAAATTTTTAAAAAGTTCGTATTTTTGGCTTTACCAAAAACCCGGGTTGTTACACCTAGCTTGTGGACCAATCGAACAATTCCTCTTCTTGATGGACTATCTCATTCCACGAACCAAAGACCCTCTAAGTATTATGGTAGTTCAATATTTTTTTGTGAAAATTGGAGAATTGCTACAACAGTATCGTGATATATCTCTACCAATACCCATATAAAAGGTGTGACTACAGGGGTGTAGAGAAAAAGATAGCAGGAACGTGATGGTTGGGGTGGACTCATGCTATATATTGGGGGATGTTGATGTATAAAGTTGTATATCAATTCATTAACATCCATATAATTTGTACTAATAAAACTATCTTAATTAAGATGGTTGTACAAAGTTGTATTTGTATATCATTGCAAATTAACACCCATATAAAACCATCTTAATATTAATTTGAATATCAATTTGAATAAAACCATCTTAATATTAATTTGAATAAATCCATATAATGTATAAATTATATATTAATTATGAATATTGAATTGGTATACAACTTTGTACATTAACATCAATATAATTTGAATAATTGTTAGTCAAGATCGGTGAATTTTGAATTTTCTAAAACAAAAGTGCATAGATTGCCTCAAAAGAAAAAAAAAACAATTTAAAGCATGTAGTTAAGTATTTTGGCTGGGTGTCTGGGTGTTCCTGAAACAAAAGTGCATAGATTGCCTAAAAAGGAAAAAAATCCATTTCTTTTCTTTTTGAAACAATAAAAAATCTATTTTGTTTCCTGTTTTTTGTGGTTATTACTATTCCATTTCCCTTTTTTGTAGAATTATACTAGAAATGCGTGTATGTCTTATCACGGGAGAGTAGACGTGTAGCCTTAAATTCAAGGATAATTTATTGTGTGCCCGATGCTATTCTTGAGGTTTTTATTTTCCCAAATTCCAGAGATGTCAATCAATTGTGATGTGTATTGTGATTAATAATAATCCTAATGTTTCCTTCTTATGTGGGCCGTGTTGATGTCTCGATGTAACCTTCTCGTGTAGTCTTTAGTTGTTAGCTCACCGCTAGTTGCTTTTATTGAGAGCCGATTGCTCCATTGTAATTTTTTTTGTTTTATATCTAGTCATCTTCCTGCCTACTCTCGCACGTGCAGTTTTTGGCCTCTCAGCGCACACCGTCCGCACCATCCGATGTGCGCGTCGCGTGCGTCATGGCCGTCCACCATGGCCACGCGCCATGGCCACTCCGCCGTCCGTGCCTGCGACCGCCATGGCCACTCCGCCGTCCGTGCCTGTGGCCGCCATGGCCACTCCACCGTCCACGCCTGTGACCACTGTCCACACCCGCGACCCACCTATGGCGTCTCCTAGGGTTTTGGCGTCTGCGCCCCACCCTTCTTCCCCAACTCCGGTGGGGTATATAGAAGGGCCATCCGGGGGTAGGAAGGTAGGCTGGCGGTGGGGATGGTCGATGGGCGGTTTAGGGGAGCCGGCAGCGGCATGGGCGATCGGGCCAGGTCGGGGTGGGGGCTCCATGGCGGGAGTTCGCGGAGCTCACCGGAGTTTGCCATGGCCACATGTGGGAGGGGGGGGAGGGGAAGGAAGAAGGTGGTTGCCGCCGGTGGTAGGGGTGGTGGGTGGGGGTGGAGGCGGGGGCGAGGGCTGTTCAATTTATTTTATTTTAAAAAGTCCAATCCTGATCGCGTCATATCATGCATATCGTATATCGAATGTAAGTGGCCCATGTATATTTGCTATTTGGCTTGCATTCCTCATTCCAAGCAAGGTCCAACCATCCCTTCGTCCATGCTAGATGGACCATATATGTTCCAAATGCGAATTGATCATAGATTAGTTGGTTAGGTTCTTTGTGGTGGAACCTGCTCACCCGGGTTCAAGTCTTTGACTTGGCACGTGTGCTTATATTTTCTGGATTTATTCTAGGATTTAACGGCGCTATGCTTTTAGTGGTAGGCGACGTCCCTATCGATAGCGAGACACCAGTGGTGACTTCGTTAATCTCAAGATCTGCTGGCTTAGTCCTTCGGAGGTGCTCATAGAGGTAGGGTTTGCGTACGTGTGTTCATAGGTGTGAGTGTGCGTGCGTGTTGTGAGTTTAAAAAAATATGTTCCAAATTAAGTTTTTTCGTAATAATATATGTTTCAAAAATTAAGTTTAGATGCCAGGCAGACAAGATTAGAAAATAGAACAAAATAATTCTGAATTTTGATTTGGTTTGGTGCAATACAGCGGAGACACAGACACGGAAACCAAATCATTTAATCGGTGGACAAAATATAGAGTACTCTCTGTTCAAAAGAATGTAATTCTCGTTTTAGAAGAATAAAATATTTTGAATTTTGACTAAATTTATATAAAAACATACTCCCTCCGTGTATTAATATTTATGATACAAAATAAGTATCATTAGATTAGTGATAGAATATAGTCTCATAAGAAATTTATTTGGAGATATAAATGTTAGTACCATTTTAAATAAACTTGGTCAAACTTGAGACCGATAGATCCCATAATTGCATCTTTCGTGGAAGGAGCCCCAGAGGAGAAAATTCAGCAAGCGTGGGGATGGGGATTAATTGGTGCTAATAAACCTGCCAGATTTACGTTTCAAATGCAATAAATATACTGCATTTACACGCAGTACATCTAGTTTCAGTGCTCACTAACAAAATTAATCGTTTCACAGAGCGGAGACCCTATAAATACATGGCCATGCGTATCGTTTGCCACCACACCAACAAGCACAAGTTGAGATCGAGGTCGTGGTAGAGATAGAATTGGCAAGTAGCTATGGCCGGGCTGCAGGGGCACAAGATCACCGCAGTGACGCTGGTGCCTCTGCTCATCCTCCTGCCGCTGACGATGCTCTCTTCCATGGCGTCGGCCACGCCCCGCTCACCGGCAGCGGTGAGTGGCGAGGGCTTCGCGGTGCTGAGGGAGGTCCCAACTGGACCGATCAACGAGACCAGCGACCCGCCGCCGCCACTGTCTCAAGTGGCTGAGAGCCCTGTCGTCGACTTTCCGGTACTGAGAAAGGTTCCTACCGGGCCAAGCAACGTGACAAGCGATCCACCGCCGCCGCCGCCAGTCGCCACGAGCGCTTGATTCCCAGAGCTGCAGGGGCGATTTTGATGCTTGTACTGCCGTTATCATGCATTGAGATTTCATCATGCAAACTCACATTTGTACTGACATAATATAATGCATATGCCTTGATCAAAACATTTCCTTTGGATGATTGGATCGATAGTGGAAACGAAATATTACAGATATGATCCCTGAGTTCATGTATGTTGTGATTATTTTCCCATGCTTCGCGTTGGTTCTTTCTTTGCATGGATCGATAGACAAGACGTCAGAACCACTCCTGCCGCCGGAACCCACCTCGTCCCCCGACTCTCCGAGTTCGCACAGAATCAAACTGACATGGCAGTCGCTGCGACAGGAGCCGGAGAGCGACCGTACCTGCAGCGCTGCCGGCCTGAGCTTGGGGCCAGAAACGCCGGCTCACGGTGGCGGCAAAAAGAGCTCTGATCCAGAGCTCAAGCCGGTTCGGCGAAGAGGAATATATACGTCAGAGAAGAATACGATATAGACGACGCATGCATAATCCCCGTCCGCGGCAGCAGCGGCAGTGTCTTCCTGTTCTTATATCGTGTTGTTTTCTGCATGCCAGTGTTTTTGTACAATCTGTCACGTTGATTAAGTACCGATATGTGCAGCAGCAACATATCTTCTTCACACAACTGATACCAATATGTTACACAGTTTCATGAATCATGATCTAATTCATATTAAGTGATGTTCTCTAGACTCTTGAAACCTTAGAAACATATTTTTGTTCATCAAATCTCATAATTTTCATGTTTTTGTGCATCAATTACTTATATTTTCATAATTTTTAGAAAACAGCTATATCTGTCATGGCAGTAGTATACCTTCATAGCTCCTGGAAAAAAGATGCCGCTATTTGCCATAACCCATGATTTTAAACCATGATTAATCTAGCTGCAACTGGCAGCTTACGAGCTATAAGTATTCTTTGGTATCGCGGTGAGCGGTTTTGAGGGGTGCAAACGGAGCTGAGCGGTGAGGGTTTCGCGGTGCTGAGAAAGGTCCCAACTGGCCCAAACAACATGACCAGCCACCCGCCGCCGCCACCCGTGTCTCAAGTGGTCAAGGGGTAGTCCTCGTTGACCTCCAGGTACTGAGGAAGGTCCCAACTGGACCAAACAACATGACGAGCGACCCACCGCCGCCGCCTCAAGTGGCCAAGAGCCCCGTCGTCGACCTCCCGGTGTTGAGGAAGGTTTCCACTGGACCCAACAACATGACAAGCGATCCACCGCGGCCACCGGCAGTCCCCAGAAGCGCCCACGTGAAAGGTCCTAATATGGCTAGAGGGGGGTGAATAGCCTATTTAAAAATCTACAAGATCACTAGAGGAATTTAATTAGTATGATAAATGGAGTAATACAATTTTGCTCTATCTCTACTAGGGTTGCAAGCCACCTATCCAAATAATTCTAGTTGCTATAATCACTAGGCACACACAAGAGCTAAGTTGCTACTCACTAAGAGCTCTCAAACTTGCTACACTAAAGAGCTCCACTAGAAGAACTTAAGCTACAAAACAAGCCCTTAATTCTGGTTACACTAAAGAGTTTGCTACAACTATTTTGTGGGAATGTAAATGAGTAAGTAAGGTGATTATACCGCCGCGTAGAGGAGTGAACCAATCACAAGATGAATAGCAATTCAATCACCGGAGAATACCAAGGGGCAAGAGACAACCGATTTTTCTCCCGAGGTTCATGTGCTTGCCGGCACGCTAATCCCCATTGTGTCGACCAAACACTTGGTGGTTCGGCGGCTAAGAGGTGTTGCACGAACCTCGTCCACACAATTGAACACCGCAAGAACCTATCCACAAGTGAGGTAACTCAATGACACGAGCAACCCACTAGAGTTACCTTTTGGCTCTCCACCGGAGAAGGCACAAGACCCCTCATAATTACCGGAGCCGGCCACAAACAATCACCAACTCATGTCGAAACTCCTCCGCTGCTCTAAGCTATTTAGGCGGCAGCAACCACCAAGAGAAACAAGAAATCCGCAGCCACAACAATCCCCAAGTGCCACTAGATGCAATCACTCAAGCAAATGCACTTGGAATCACTTCCAATCTCACTATGATGATGAATCAATGATGAAGATGAGTGGGAGGTGTCTGCTTAGGCTCACAAGAATGTCAAGTATGTCAAAATACCAAGAGAGTTGCCTTGGAGCCGGCCAAACACTATTTATAGACGTCCCCAAACGAATAGAGCCGTTAGAGTCAAGGAAGGCCGCTCTGCGTACTGACCGAACGCGCCGGTCGAGTTGATCGGACGCGCCCGAGCTAGCGTCCGGCCGATGATCTTGTGCCACATGTCACGTCCTTTGAATACCGAGCGTCGATCTCCAACAGTCAACTGAACAAGCGCCCTAGGGTTAAGTTATGATCGGACTCACAGATGAAACGACTGGACTCTAGATCACTTGGCGTCAGATCAAGTCCAGAGAGCATCCATAGCCGGTTTTGTTTGACTGGATGCGCCCCAGCGTCCGGTCCTCTCACTATTCATACACGCGCTCTCTCGATGCTGACATCACCATATGTCAGCGCTGACCGGACTCAGCCCCTGCACGTCCGATCGAGCGAAACGCCTCCTCTGTAGAATGTGACCGGACGCGCCGATCCACTCAGCGCCAGCGTCTGGTAGCGCCTTGCTGCCCTCGGCCGACTTCACGCCAACTTTTAAAATTGACTGGACTCAGCCCCCAGCATCCGGTCGCTGACCAGCTCCTCCTTTTCATTTTCTAAGTCCGCAACCACTTCGTCCCTGCTTCCAACTTGCTAACCACAAAGTGTAAAACTTGTGTGTACGTGTGTTAGCATTTTTTAAAGCATTTTACAAGGGTCAAAGTTAGCACACTAGGTTTCTAAATGCAATGCATGAGTCATGTCACATAGTGGCACTCGATAAACCGTTTAGCCAAAGATTTTCTCTCTTTATAGTATGGCTATCGATCCTAAGTGCACTTACACCCTCTATGGTGTCTTAAGTGCCAAAACAAATACCTATCTTTTATCTTTGCCTTGATCATCTCGGTTTTTGTTTTTCTCTTTCTTGTTTTCCAAGTTGAGCTTGATCATCGTCATTTCATATCCACCTTCAACTCCATGGACCTCATCTTGCTCAATCACTTGGAATGGACCACCTTATCTAATTCACTTACTTAGATCAAAGGTTAGTCCTATGTTTCATCAATTATCCAAAACCAAACTAGGGCTTTCACCATGTCGATCTCCCCATGCTAAGGAAGGTTCCTATCGGACCAAACAACATGACAAGCGATCCACCACCTGCCCCAGTGGCCACGAGCGCTTGATTCTCGGCGCTGGCTGCAGGTGAAACTTTGTGTGAGTGCGAGGCGATTATGATGATTGTACCGCCATTACCATGCATTGAGAGTTGGGACTTCATCATGCAAATCCGCATTTGTAATGTCATAATGCATTTGTCGTGATCATAACATTTCCTTTGGATTGATAGTGGAAACAAATAATTACAGATAAAATCCATGAGTTCATGTTGTGATCATTTTTTCCATGCTGCTATACGCTTCGCTGGTTCTTTGCATGAATCGATAGACAGTGAGTCAGGACCTCTCGCAGCGGTAGGAGCCGAGAGAGGAATACGTCCGAGAAGGAGATGTTGTGTGATGTTGCAGCTCCTAATGATACCATTAATTTGAGGCTCATTTGATCAACTATATTACGCAAAATGTTACATATATATTTGGTTAGGTGTCTAGTGACTTTTTTTTTTTGACAATATGCAACTTTGGGGGGCCTTCCACAAAGTGCGCAAACCAGCCACAAAGGACTACCCGAACTCACTCTCTGTTCTGGTGCTTGTTCTTCCCCTTTGGGGGTTGAGAGAGGGAGAGAGGAGATTTGAGGGGTGAGGTTTTGATCTACCAAATCTATCCATTAGAGAGTGTCCGAGGGAATTTAGAGCCTCCCCAACCTTTTTGGCTCCCACCTCTTGTATCTTCATCTTCATAGTGGGTTGCTTGCTCGTCGTCGCCCGTGGTTTTTCCCCGTAAGGGGTTTCCACATAAATCCTTGTGTCTATTTGTGATTTGGTATTTATGTTGCCATGCTTGTTGATTGGTTTCTATCTTGCTTGCTATTGGTACCATTTTGTTCAAGTTCATGGTGTATGGTTGAGTTGGCATATGAGGCATACATGGGTTCTTTGAAATGTTGATGATGCGGATTGATGTGTTAGTGAGCTGATCTTACAAGTTTCTTATTGTGAAGTTTGGATAGCACCATGTTTACAGAGTTGATACTATGGGTCTGTTTTCAAGTATGCACATAAAGTGTTCGGTGAAATACTTGTGAGTAGTTAGCTTGCTAATTTCGCCGCTTTCCACTGCCCCTCAGTGCTCACATGTTGCTAACGCCTCTCAGAACATCTTTGTTCTACGATGATCAATAGCGTAGAACCGATATGGGAGGTGCTAGCGCCCGGACATCCATCCTGCGAAGCCTGCCCCCATCCGCTGATTTTTCCCGCCTCGCACATGCACCCCGCCCTGTCGCAGCACCCGCGTGTTTGGAGGACTCGCCTTGTACTCACAGCCAGCCCTATCCACCTCGATTCGAGGACATTCGCCCCACAACGCACTCGCACCCCACCCCCATTGAGCCCGGACCGCCGGCCCCGAGCGCACCTTGTCCATAGGACACCGCCGTGCCGCGCACCCCGTCCGTCGGCCCCTAGCTCGCCACACCCCATTTCCCGGTGCCTGCGCCTGTGCCACCATCAGTCCACGTGCCCCCTGACTCTCCGAACAACATGAAAGATGTGCAACATGAAACACTTGAATGAAACATACGAATGCCATAGATGAAACATCTAGGATGTACACTTGCAACATATATGTGAAACATATACAACATCCAGATAAAACACTTGCAACTTGCAAACATGAAAACACGTACTGCAACATAAGACTGAAACAACATAAACATTTGGAACATATTGTTGCAACATATATGTGTGAAACATATGCAACATCTAGATCAGAACGCTTGCAACATACGTCTGGAACAAATAAAATATTTTGAACAAACCTCTGAAACACTTGCAACATGCATCTAAAATACTTGCAACATGTGCAACATCCCCGATATACTTTTGTAACATCCAAATTAAACAATTGCAATATACCTCTAAAACGCCTGAAACACTTGAAACATACGATTGCAATATGCGCTTCCATTGCACATCTCCTTGTTGAGGTCGCGCATCACGGCGGCCATGGCATCGACAATAGCCAAGACCTTTTGGTGGGGAACGGCGACATCGCCAGCACCTCGGCACGCAGCGGGGACGGGGCATGGTGCGCAGCGTGCATTGAGCTGGAGCAGTCGCGGCAGGGGATGGAGCTCGGCGTGGCGATGGAGGGGGTGCGGCGCGTGATGGAGCGCGAGTGCTGGAAGGGGAGCCGCGTGGTGCGAGATGGGGTGCGTGGTGGAGAAGACGGCAGCAGTGAGCGCACGACACAAAAAAACACACGATGGGCGAGAGCGATGGAGAAATATTTTTGAGAGAAGAGATTTTTTTTTTTAGCAAATTTTGAGACGAGATGGGGAGACATAGAGAGTAAGCAGGCTTGGGCCGGTACGCGCCGGCTCGGAAAGCGGCGTCCGGACGGACGCCCCACTCCGGAGCATTACCGAATCGATATCGATGGTATGGTAACGCAAGAGAAAAAATCATGTGAAGTTTGGTTCGGACTTCGGAGTTCGTTGGTAAGCCAAACCATGACAGGCCTGATGAACCTGATGGAACCGAAACAGTATCCCAAAAACCCAAAGAGTCAGAGCCCGATATCCATACAGTATATATATATAATATAGCCCTATACTATAAGGCCCGCGGCGCGGTCTCCAGCGATATCACGCCTTCCCGTCGGACACCTCGTCGTCGCCTGGCCTGGATCGCGTTTTGTAGCGGCGCAACGGCGGCGTCGGCCTTGCCATCCACCATCACCAGGCCACCAGCTGTTGGTAGAAAAACTTTCTGTTTCTCGTCGAGGCCGGCAACTACTAACCGGCATCCATCGATGGGCCGCGCCGTAGCAGGCGGCGCCAATGCCGAGGCCGACGGCGGCGGCGTCCAGCTAGTATCGGTGTCCTGGAACCAGGACAGTACCCACTTCGGGGTGGTGACGACCGCCGACTTCCGCGTCTTCGACTGCAGCAGCCCGTTCCACGAGAAGCTACGCCGCGGGCTGCCGCACGGCGCCGGCGACGGGTACGCCATGGTGGGCGTGGAGATGCTGTTCCGCAGCGAGATCTTCGCGCTCGTCGCCGCCGCAGGGGGCGAAGGCGGCAGCGGCAGGAGCAGGGTCATGGTCTGGGACGACCGGGAGAACCAGCGCATCTCCGACGTCCTCGAGTTCCAGTCCGACGTCGTCCGCGCCGTCCGGGTGTCCAAGGACTACCTCGTCGTCGTCCTCGACCGCGTGGTCAGGGTCTACGGCCTTCGCGCCTCGGCGCGGCCGCTCTGGAGGATCGCCACGGCGCTCAACCCCCGGGGGCTCTGCTGCCTCTCCTGCCACGTGGACGTGGACGTGCTGGCCTGCCTCGGCACGGCGCGAGGACAGGTCCGCGTCGACCGGCTCGGGAAGAAGCCCGAGACGAGGTTCATCGCGGCGCATAGCTCGCACGTCGCGTGCATGGCCATGACCGTCGACGGCGCCGTGCTCGCCACCGCCAGCGTCAAGGGCACCCTCGTCAGGGTGTTCAGCACCATGGATGGGACTTGTTTGCAGCAGGTGAGATTAACTATATTTAATTGCAAACGATAAATTTAGATGTAACGCTTAACAAAATTTTAACAATTAAGCAATGATGTGATGTTCTTCTGAATCTGCAGGTGCGTAGAGGGCTTGACCCAGCTGAGATACATAGCATTGCGCTGTCACCAAACCTGCAGTGGCTGGCGGTGTGCAGCGACAAAGGAACCCTGCATGTTTTCAGCTTGAGAGTTAGAGTTGGGGCGAAAGATGCAGCTGGTCACAAGCAATCTGCTGATCAAGCAGCACGTTCTGTCGTGCAAACAAAAACTGCATCCAATGCAAGATCATCCTTGTCTTTCATGAAAGGTAACCTAAGAAAAAAATCTTTTCCCACCTTTTTCCTTTTTTTCTCCTCGTGATGGTGGGTTTGCTTGCTCTTTCAGATCCATGCATTATATGACGTTATTTATGTAATCATGTAGTTCTTGTTGGTTTAGTTTTGTTCTTGTAAAGTCAGTTGGTGTGGGTCGTTACAATTATCGAAAGAGAATCATTAATTTAGTATATATACATGCGAGTTACTACTAGAGTTAGTTTTGCTATTAGTATTCCATCCGTTCCAAATTGTAAGTCGACCTGACCATGCACCTAGCTAGAAAAGGTAGAACAACTTACAATTTGGAATGAAGGGAGTAGTTACTAGATCTAGCTATGGAACTATGCTGTCACAGCCTCACTCTATCAGACTATCACAGGGGCGATAATGTTTTACTTTGTTCCGTATTAGTACCTTGAATTTCTTCTGATTATTATACACACTATCTGTGTTCTCCAGTGATTCTGCCGGATTACTTCAGTTCAGAATGGTCATTCGCTCAGTTCCGTTTACCAGAAACCACAACCTATGTTACAGCATTTGGAGAACAACAAAACACTGTGATGATTATCGGGATGGATGGCAGGTACGGACAAACTCATAATTTATATAGAGAACAAAGAATGTAACAAAATTATCTAAGAATAATTGTTTGATTTAGATCCTTCTTGAAACGACGCTCCCAGTCACTTAATTGTATACATACTTACGCTTTATTTTTGGCATTTTTCAGTTTCTATAGATGCAGCTTTGACCCTGTAAATGGCAAGGAGATGGTGCGAAAGGAATATTTTCGGTTTCTCAAGGATAAGGACTCCCCTCCATTTAGGGCCAGAGTTTAATTAACAACATGAGCTTCATGATGTCTGGACTTTTTTTGCAAAGAAAGTTTCACTCGGTTCCACGGATGCCTGTGTATATTATACTCATCACTGTATAATGTATTTGAGTTTATCCCATGTCAAACCACTCTAAGTTTGACCATGTTTATATAGAAGAGAGGAGTATATAATATTTATAGGACATCTTCAAAGAGGTAGGGGGTGTTTGGTTCCTGGCCGTACTTTACCACACTTTACATGTGGCTGCCACAGGTACATTGGATGTTGTTTGGTTTCCAAATAAACTGAGGCAGCCACACAATCTCATAGTTGACTTCTATAAAAATATACAAAACACTTGGGGTGGCCTTTTTCTCCGCTACACTTTTGTGACGGCACCACGATCTGCATGGCTGGCAGCAGCCAGAAACCAAACAGCCTTGTAAATTGTCATGTGTGGCCGCGCACATATACAACGGCTAGGCAAAAGAAGGCACAGCCAGAAAGAGGAGTCCCCTGACCGTGCACTAGAGAAGTGAGTCTAGCTGCCACGGACGTTGCGATATTGGCGTCATATATGTGTACCATTTTGTAAGTTGCCGGATTGGGTATTAGGCTCAGGATTTGTTATTAGGTTATTTTGCCTTAGGCCTTATTTGGATGTAGTAGATTTCGCATCAATCCACATGTGTTGCGGTAGATCGGAGTAGAACTTGAATTAAATTCCTACCCAATCCATCCCAACACACGTGAATCGAGGTGAATCTGATAACGTCCAAATAAGGCCTTGGTTGGATTGCTTATTGGCCTTTATATATGTCCGGTTGTAATCAGTTCAGATTCAAGTAATAGATCAATAATCTCTATTTCATCGCTTGTGCTATCACAGTAGCGTGTTTGCATCTGCCGTCGCTGGCAGTCCCTTGTGGCCAGGACCTGAGGCTCACGTAAGCCTACTCATACCCACTATCGCCGTTACATCTGGTATCAGATTGCTCTAGTCTCGGTCTAATGGCAAAACCCACAGTTGTAGAAATTTGCTGAGCTCACTAAGTCTTTTGCCGATCTTTCCCTCTGTTTTTACAGCATTGCGCAGCTGTCCCAAAAGGTTGACGAGCTCCAGGGCACTCTTCGTGACAGCGCCCCGAGCAAGTCCACGCCCTCGACCTAGCCGTCTCAAGGCTAGACCAGGGCACTGTTCGTGGTGGTCCTCTCCTGAGGACATTGCAGTAGTGCAGAACGAATTCCCATGCCAAGTCCTGGAGTTCCCCTGCAGATACTTGGGGCACCGCTTTCCTATTGCAGGCTAAGCCACGAGATCGAACAGCCACTCATGGACTCGGTCGCGGCGAGGTTTCCTACATGGAAGGCAGGGATGTTGAACACTGCTGGCAGAGCTAACCTGACGAAATCCACCCTGTCTGCTATCCTAGTCCAATGTATCCATTGTGTGTTCCCTATCACAAAGGGCTATGATCATGTATGGCTTTGGTGATTTAAATGGCAACTTAAGCACTAGGACTAACATGCGTGTCAAGACATGTTAGACGGACTCCAAATGGTGATTCAGTAAATTTGTAGTTTGCTCGCAGTGGCTAGTTGAGGTGGTTGGCGCTATATATGGGTTCCCATGGCTTGCCTATTAGTGGGAGTATGTATCTCAAGGCTATTGGAATCTAGGGAAAATTATTTTACTCTCCATCCACCTCTCAAGTGCATAGAGATCACATTCATGGCTAGGATAGATGTCCTTGTTCATCTTTGTGAGGGTCAGGTCTTAGATCTTGAGAGCTCAAGTGAGTGGGTTCTTGTGCCCTTGTAATTGAGGCGGAACAGTTGAGGTCTTGGTGACCTTCTGGCAAATGTCAACTGTCCAAGCTTGGTGTGTACAGGCGGCACGGTGACTCATTGGGGTGGGCATGAGGATACCCATATCGTCGGTAAGCTTGATAGTACTAGACAACACCTTGGTGACCAAGAGAGTCAAGTGACAAGTAGTGAGACCAACACCAAGACCGGGGTAAGGCTTGGGGACTAGTAGAACATCCTTTGTGGAGCTCCAACATGCACTAGGGATTGAATTTTGGCAACTGTAACACCCATAGGTTAAATTAATGTTCATCTTTGGGAGTTATCCACTAAACACTCTCTCCTTCTTATCATGCCAACCATGCAAAGCATGCATGCTACTGGATTTATGCCAAGGGAGATTTAAGTACATTTGGGGGATGGAGGATTTAGACTCGAAAACATGGGAGCATTTTCATTTTTTTCATGGAATAGGAAACAGAAGACAGATGGGATACGAAGATAGAGGCAATGGAAGAAGAATAAACTAATATCACACTTTTGGCTTTAGTAATAGTAGAGATAGAGAAATAAGCAAACATAATACAAATATGTGACCTTTTGTCATTATGAATACATGTTCTAGCCATGTTTGGAATGCGACAAAAGGAAATGTTGCATTTCTAGTTTCCTCAATTGGAAAGTTACAAGGGGGTGTCTATACCATTCCATATTGATCGTTTCTATGGAAACATTGTAAAAGGAGCTATGCATCAGAAACGGTGAATAGAAGCATTATTTTGTTTTTTATAAACTAAAAGCAAGAAAATCTAAGAGAGGTAGTTACTCCTTTAGGGCACCTCCAACTGTAGTCCCATATTTAGGTGGTGTAAGTATTCTTTTGCCATCCTGTAAGAGAGAACAAGTGAAAAATTAGGGAAAATTAAGTGGGCATGGTCCCCAAACTATAGCCATGGGCACATATATACTACAGAATCAGGACAATTTTTGACAGGTTGGATGATGGTAAGGCATCCAATAAAGATTCCAGTAAGCTTAGTGCATGTATGTATACTTCAATTGTTCAAATTATATACAAGCTTAGTGCATGTGTTATTTAATTGTTTAAATTATATGCAACTTTATGCTTTCTTTGATTTTGTTGTCATCATTACCAAAAGGGGATATTTTAAGCAACATGTATTGTATGCATGGTCATGTATGGTTTTATTGATTTAGATGACAACACAAAGACTGTGACTAACATGTGTGTCAAGATGTGTTATACAGACTCTAAATGGTGATCCAGTAAATCTGCAGTTTGCTCCTAGTGGCTAGTTGAGGAGATTGTCGCTATATATGGGTTCCCATGGCTTACCTATTATGGTGGGAGTATCTCAAGGCTGTTGAAGCTAGGGCAAGCTATTCTACACTCCATCCACTTCTCATGTGCATAAATATATGACATCCATAGCTAGGATGCATGTTGTTGTGTTCTTCTTTGTGAGGGTTTAGGCCTTAGATCTTGAGAGCTCAAGTGACTGGGTTGTTGTGCCCTTGCAATTGAGCCTAAGCACTTGAGGTCTTGGTGTCCTTCTGCAAATGTGACCCCTCAAAGCTTGGTGTGGACGGGGCGCGCGTGGTGACTCGCTACGCTAGGCATTAGGATACTCCTATGGTAGAGAAGCTCGATAGTGGACAACACCTTGTTGAGCGCGAGAGTCGAACGACAAGTAGTGAGCATTATTGGCTTAAGGCATGCACTTGTCTTGGTTGGCGGTGTCTTTTGTGTTTTTCCCAACACCATGATCGGGATAATGCTTTCTGACTAGGAGCACATCCTTTGTGGAGCTTCAACGTGGATAGGGGTGCATTATGGCAACGGATACCATGGAATAAATTAATCTCCATCTCTTGGAGCTAGCCAGTAAACTCTCACCTACCAGAGAGCTAACGCTCTCGCCATTGAACCATTGTCACCCATGCAAGCATAGGCAGAGCTACGTGGAGGCGAACCTGGGCTGTTGCCCCCCTTGCTCTCTGCCATCACCAGTACATCAGCTTGCTTTTTGTGGTTTGTTCATAGAGTACATGCATTATAATATTATTTGCTCTCAGCTGAAGAACACCCATGCACAGCTAGTTGCATGCCATCACCCTTCAGCCTTCACCCATGCACGAGGTCACATGCACATGCTTGCTGGCTTGTGGGTGTGGCGTCACCACGATAAGCCAGTCACTGCCCTCCGTATAGCACTTTCCTATGATGTCTGCTTATTTTATTCATACATGCTCACGGTTGGCTTGTAAGACTTGCCATGTATACGGTCACAGAGGCCGGAATTTTTCTATTTTCTAAGAACAGAATGTTCACGATTGCCCCCCCCCCATTTTATCCCTAGCTCCGCCACTGCATGCAAGCATGCATGCTATTGGCTTTCTGCCGAGAGAGATATAAGTGCCTTTAGGGGATGGAGGATTTTGACTCGAAAATAGCAGAGCTTTTTCTCTTTTTTTGTGAAACAAGAAATGGCAGACAGATGGCACACAAAGATAGAGGCAACGGACGAAGAAGTGATATCACACTTCTAGCTTCAATAATAGTATAGATAGAGAAAATAAGCATACAAAATACCAATATGTGGCCTTTTGTCATTATGAATATATGTTCTAGCCATATTTAAAATGCAACAAAAGGATATGTCGTGTCTCTAGATTCCTCAATTGGAAAGGTACGAGGGTATATCTGTACATTTCTATAATATTGCAAAAGGAGTTGTGCATAAAAAATGGTGAGTAGAAGCAAGAAACTCTACACTACTGGATTCAGGCGCTTTGCCGGGTGCCGAATGCACCCGGCAAAGGCTACTTTGCACTCGGCAAAGCCTTTGCCGGGTGCAGCACTTTCAAAGAGCCTCCGGCAAAAAAGTTAGTCGGCAAAGATTTCTTTGCGGGTGCTTTTATCGGGCACCCGACAAAGACTTTGCCGAGTGCAAACCGACACCCGCAAAGAAAAGTGGTCGTTACGGCGCCCGGCTCCGTCATCCTTGCTTTGCCAAAATATCGAGGCACCCGGCAAAGATTTTTTTAATTTTTGTTTCAAATTTTCTTTGCGGGTGCGTGTGCGGCGAGGCACCCGGCAAAGATGTTTTTATTTTTTATAATTTCTTTGCCGGGTGTCTCACCGAGGGGGCACCCGGCAAAGAGTTTTTTTATTTTTTTCGTAATTTCTT